CCCCCACTCCCCCCACTCAACCCCTTGACCGTCGTAAACGTCGACGGTCAATCCGCAGGCTCCCCTGGAGTTTGCCAATTTGTTGCTCGCAGTTCGCCGCGCTGCCGGGGGCTTCGGGGACGATAGTAAAATTCCGATACGTCCGCGATGAAACGAATTTCAATTTTAACCCTTAGACTGCCAACGTAATAATACGACTCGCAGTGTGATTAACCCTTTCCGGTACGATTGAATCATGACAAATTGTGCGTAATAGATGTATTTTATTTTCATTGAAGAAAACGTGTTTCATTTTATGACTCACACATCTTGTTGATTAACAGGATATTGATTAAAAGTAATGTGACAAGGTACTGGTAACTGTTATGCCAATTTATTCTCACTTAGGAGCTGCACAAATTTTGTACATGTAAAAACGTGTTACCTGTAACTTTAGTCGTTTGTCATTTTACAGTAAGGGGTTAAACATTTATACTGGGCAAACGAGCCGCTTGAATTTCACTGTTGTCAATTTTTGTAGGAGTTTAGGGTCTATTTTACGAGAATTTTATGAATAATCAGTTGTTTGATTTAAAAGCGGGGAGTATTCCAACATTTTCACTAAATTTTGTTATAAAGCGAAAGAAAAAGATGGATTTGGTAGTATGGGAATTATAGAAGACGATTTCGTGATCTTTTCACTTGGCACTCGCGAGTGTAACTGTAAATTAATGCTGAATTGAATAGGGGAATTGGGGTTCGCGAGGTGTGATGGTAATTGGAAATAAAAGGACACTGGATGTATCGATCATCAGACTTTCTGAGGAATGATTTTGCGAAAGGACAGTTGCTACATTAATTCTGGTGGCGTACGTCGAGCAAGGGATTTCCTAGGGAAAGCTGGACGACAGAGACAAGCTGCATTTCTTTCATATGAGACTTACATACTTTGCTGAAATTTATGATCGCGATAGTATTTTACAGTATTTCCTTAGGGGGTTGTAGTTAACAGTGTCTAGGCATCTGCAGGTTCCAGTGAATAATGCCACTGACATTTTGAACAGATAGTTCAGTTGGTATTGATGATGACATCATGAAAGTTTAGTCTATTACTCTACTCTGCACTATTCCTTCATCTCTAACTATCCTTACACTACTTTATTCTCCTATTCAAAAAATATTCTCACAATGTCATTCGAATACTTAAAATACAAAACTAATATTTTCCTAAGTAGAGCCAAAGATGGATAAGAAAAATATATCCACAAACATCCACCATTATCTATATCAACGCCCAAAAACCCACCCTCTCAAATAATCAACATCCATTTCAAGAAACACTTCAGACCAGAAACAGGCAACTGAATTCCAATGACAAAATTTTCCAAGCAAGCCAACACAACATTTCGATTTCCTAATTTTTTTCTGAATCACCGAGTACTCGGCTCACGGGGAGGCCGAGGTCGTGCCGCAATAACGCCACGCGGCCCGACAATGGCGGCCTCGCGTTCATCCCGCGCTCCCATTACACCATTATAAATCATGCCTCCGCTCATTTTCGTGATTCGAGGCTGGGCCAGGGCTCGACGTACTTGACGTGTAGGGTCAACGGGTCGCGGGGCCAGGTGAAACGGCCGGGTAACACAAAGTAGAGAGGGCCCCGATGGGCCGTATCGATTCGTTCCGCGCGCAGGATCGTTGTGCCGGGCCATCACGCGCCGTCCGCGCGCGCGCGCGCGGAATCGCGGGATATCACGGAACGCGGCCCCGCGTATTGTAAATCGAATCGACCGGTCGTGGTCCGCCGTGTACGGGGCACGGAATGCGGTAATAACGAAAACGCGGCACGTGAAATGCCGACGAAATGGGTCGGGCCGATTTATCGTTGAATCCCACGGACCGCAGGAATCGCGTCGCCATCTGCGCGCAACAATATACATCCGACGCATCGGATGTTAATTGTTATGAATGTTTATTGGAACCGGTATTATTGGCTACTTGGCCGAGATCGCGAATGAGCGGAATCATTGTGCGCGTAAACAGCTTTTGTCAATGGAGCTTTGTGAAGAAGGTTTTGTTAACTCAGCGGATACTGGGAAATTTCAATTGGCAAGCGAAATAGTAGTTATCGTCGACTGGTCGGTGTGTATTATTTGTAGGTTCGAAGATGCAGTTGATTGTAAGCTGTTAATTGAGCGTCCTTTATTTCCAGATCGTGCATGGGCGGAACATTGTCTACGCGAAGAGATTCTTCTGAGGGAGCTATGTGAGGAAGGTTCTGTTAACTCAGCGAATACTGAGAAATTTCAATTGTAAAGTGAAATAGTAATTATTGTTGAATAATTGGTGGATGTTATTTGAAGGTTTGGAGATTCAGTTGATTGTAACTTGTCGATTAACCCTTTGCCCTATGAGTTCTTTGTTTAATACGACTGATTTGAGTACCTTGTTATTGATAACTTATTGAATATAAGAGGAAAATTCTAGGCATATTCTATGCCAACATTTGATCTAAAGTATAATCATTGATAACAGAGGAATAATGCACAGTTTGAACTCAAAAAAATTGAATAATATCTATGTTTGTTACATTCTATTTGAAATCTTCATCCTGACACGATATTATAGGACGAGGGGTCAAGCGTCATTTACTTCCAGATCGCGGATTTCAATGGAAATTAATAACTTTCTAAACTCATCCTCGGCAGTTCTTCATTAATTCGGAATTTAAAAAGTTTCCAGTGAGATTGCTTCTTCATCTTCCAAGTGTTCGCTCTTAAAACCGAGGAAGAACGAACGGAGGAACTTAACGGAGCACGAATACTCCCATGTTCAGCCGGTTGCCGGTCTTAAAGGGAGTTTCCTTGGCTCCAGCCGAGAAAATGGCCTGCAGGAAGGCACACTGTACGCTACGGGCGTTTTAATAGAAATTCGAATGCCAGGAATGTCTGATTGAACGACGACTGCAACCGTGGCCTCCCGTATGCCCACGTGTCCACGCGGTGAGATAAGATCCGGCGAGTTGTAAGCTTTTAATCGATGCTATCCACTTGGAACTGAATTTACGGGACGTGTTTTCGATAAGTACACGCGCGCTCGCGTACGCTCGGACATCGGAGAAGCCACCATTCGACGGAGGTTGCGTGGAACTTTTACAAGAAAGTCGTACGTATTAAAGTTACGTGACGTGTCGGTTGGAAAAAGGCGGATTTTTCAAAGCCGGACGGCTCGCGAATGAAATAAATTCCGAATTATTATTTCTTTTAAGGTAACACGCGGAATGGTTACCATTAGGCTGAGAGGTTTATGCATTTACCATAAATGATATTCGATAAAACATAACGAAGCGGAGGCTTCGATCAGCCTCGACTTATTCTATTTTATTAGTCACGTACTGTCACCCACAGAGGAAGGTACTTTTACAATATTATATTTAAAATATTGTACAAACCATTGGATAATATAACTTGAAACGAGAGAATATAATAAATATAGTACATATAGTATAGACACGATTACTCTATAGCCATCAACACATTGTACGAGTTTCTAACAGTAAACATTTTATTTATCCATATTTCAGGAATCAACAGCATGATCAATTGAAGTATGAGGAAATCAAACTGTAAGTATGCACTTAATTTCAAAATTCCTTCGAAAACATCAGGTATAATGTGACAGAGGGGATCGTGTTACGCATACCGGAAGCGCAAGAAGCATCCATCGATGCTATCACGGTCTAAAACATGATATAGCCGTCGGACTTTTTGCCTCGTACAGTCGACGGTAGACCATAGTTCGAGAGAAAGGTTTCGTTGATGGCAGCAACGGTACCCCTTCACCTCCCTCTCTGACGAACGACCATCTGAAAATTAACCGGCATAAAATTTTAATTAAGATTTCCTAATCCGTACCAGTCTCTCCACCCGTTAATTACAATGAAACGTTTAATAATCCCGCATCGCGGTGAGATTTACACTTCGCGCCGGGATTTACACTTCGAGGCAGGCCCCGTTCCGTAAAATTTCAATCACCATAAACTGTGGTGTTTGCCCTCGCCACGGATTCCCGTCGCTTTCCCCCATTTTTACGAGCCGACGGTAATGCTCGTGCAATCTACCGACGGTTAATCAAACCTGTAATCTATTGGAATCGACTATTCCGGAATTCTGACCGACCCGAGGCACAGTTCCCTCTAATTTTCTTCGATCTTCGATCGAGGCGCACGGAACGGGTCCCGATCGTGATCTTTATTGGCGATCGGCTGATTAAAATTAAAGTTTCGAGGCGGTGACGGAGATACTGCGGTTTTATTGGCTTTACGGTCACTGTTTTCGATTATCATCAATTGTGAATTAACGCGGGGTTTGTGGGAAAGCTTTTGTTATCTGTCTTCTACTCGGAAATTTTCGAGGTTGCGTGCTTCGGCGTAGTCTTCTGTTTATCGTGGAAAATTATTGTTATGTTTAGATTGGTATAAATGTATGTTAACAATGAAGATATTGATTCTAGAGGTACAACTGTGTTTGATGTGTTTAAATATTTCATGGTTCAAGAAAGTTCAATGAATCGAAGTTATATATTCGGGAGCAAGATTTTTATGGTAAATATTCTTACGTGTTTGGAGTGACGATTAAAATTGACGTAATGAGAAATTACAGTGAAAAGTAAAGTGAAAATATGAAGAAGTCAGTGCGACAGTCTCCGATGATTAACTGTAATTACCTGTGAAATAATGAATTCCTCGTGTTTTCACATTTTTGTTGCACATTAAGCGTTAATGGATATTATTTTTCAGGAGTCAGCTTCCGTGATTGGATTCGATTCAGTTGTTACTGTATAAGGAGAGAAACCCGTCCATCGGAACTTCGTTTCACGAAAAATGCGGAAACGCTGAGGCGGTGGTGTAACTCGAGTAGCGTAACCGCCGGCTTGATGAATGAACAACGCTACGTTCCGTGTATCGTGTAAGTGTATACACGTTACGGTGTAACTTATGGAAGCTAATTTATTTCTAACATACACCGTTGCATTCCCGATAAATTTTAATTTCCTTATCGACGAACTTGTTCCAACAAATTATTACTGTCCCTCTTACTTAACAATTCGTTAAATACTTTATTATCCACTTATCTCATCGTATCGAAGTTTAACAAGAAACTCAGGCTTTCCTACGAGATAAAGAATAATTGCGAAGTGAAAATAATTACAGAATAATCATTACATAATGCAGAGCATAGAATTTATTTTCCTACAACTGCTAACTATATCTGCTCCACAGAAAGGGATTAATGCTAAATGAAGCATGAGAAAACAATTTTCTTCGAACGTATCCAATAACTGACAGAAATTAGCGATAACGTTCGGCATAAAATCAATTTTCCTTTAATAGCCGAGCGCCTGCCTCGATTTTAAAGAAAGAGATTAATATAAAACGAAGCACGGGAGATCAGGGCATAAAATTCCTCGTTAACACTTTCAATTTATACAAATTAGCAATAACGACGAATCGTAAAATCTATTTTCCCCCGGCGAAGGAAGCCGCTTCCATTTCAAAGGAAGAAATGAATATAAGATGAAATACGAGAAATCCGCCGTAAATGTTCCCCCATCGACACGTTCGATTTAAACAAATTAGCGGATAGCCGCGCGCAAATGTTTATGAAGCTTTTATCTCGAGTTCGATCGGGATCGTAAAACTCGCGTTCATAACCCCCGTGCGTAGCGATGGGCTTGACGCCAGTATTTCTCCCGAGTTTTAAGCAATTCAATGCTCAACCACTTATCTCATATATCCGATACATATCAATATATTATATACTTAGCATCACCATTTGCTGATTTCAGAAGTCAAACGCTATAACTCATATTCTCATTTGACTCATTTCGAAGTGTTTCCATCATTAAAACTTCCAATCAATGGCACAGTTATCTTACCACTTCCATACTTAATACTTAATTCCCCACGTACTATCACACCTCCTTCATTAACCCAAAATTCCAACAACAAAAACTTTAAAAATCTAAATAAAATACGTCCTCGACTGATTCTGAGCTCTCTGCATCATTCGTTCAATCAAAAAATCAAAATTGGTAAAGTTCAGTAAAATCATACAACAGAAACAAATTTCCAAACATTCTACCAAAACTTGAAATCATCCAACAGCTAAAATTAATCACTTCCAGCTACAGTCGCGTTCAAACATTCGCAGCCAGATCGGTTTTGGAACTTTTCTTACACGATAAAGGCTTCAAGAGCTTTTCGTTATAACATATAAAGGATACATCGCATGAGAGAATACTGTATCAAACTCAACACCATCTATTCTTTATACATTTTCCTATAAATAAACAGTAAACCATAATAATAAACTTTCGAACCTGTCAACCTAGTTACTCTTTAAATACGTAGTATTCATCCATACAAATATATCCTTATTCGTTCTATCAACGAAAATTCTCCTAAACTCAGCCTATTAAACAAAACCTCCAAAAACGATCTGGCCGGGAACTTTCGAACGCCACTTACAAACGTCACGAAGTCCAATACCTTCAGTCCCACAGCAACCACCTGCAATCCAAAAAATTCAAACCTAAATTCCCGATACTCCCAGCGCAAGCGATAACCATCGTCGCGACTCGAGCAGCATCATTTCCCATCGCTACCCTGCACTCCGCCGCGGCGTGTAGTTTCAACACTCGCGCGGCCATCGGCGAGTCCCGCGAACGTTTACGATGATTCGACTGCGGGTACCGATGCAACGCCCTTTCCTTGCCCTCCCGCGGGATTCCAGGAATTGCATAAGCGTTGCGTGGAGGCGCGTGGGCAGCGCGAGCATCGCCGGCGAATGCACGTGGCCGGGGCCCGATGCGGCCCGGGCGGAGGTCAGGCAGGTGCTCGCCGCGGGGTCGTGCAAAGAACATTCACTGTCACGTTGCGGATATCATGCCGCGTGTCGACGCGTACGCACTTTCACGCGCGGCCGCGCGCGTTCACGATCATTCAATGTTGAAATACTCGCCGGCACCGTGAAAGTAAACGGCGAAAGGTTTTCAGTTTCGTTTTCAGCGTTCCCCTGCCGGCCGAGAGAAAAAAAATCCGTTTAAGTTATGCGGACAATATATTAGTTGCCCGCCTCGACGCGTCGAAAACTGTTCGAGCGGAGTTTTCCCATTTCGAGGGACGTACCGTTCGACGCGGGCCGGATCGTTTTATAGGGACGACACGTTCGTTGTTCATCTCCGTTTTATGTTATTTCCCTCGGTTTTAAAGCCCGTTCCGCGTTATGCGGGAATCGCAATGTTGCTTTGGTATCAGCTGCCAGCGAGATGCCGGAGGATACTGAGTTTAAACGTGTTGCCTAGAATGTTAGGAGACCCGTAAGGACGTTCCTCGAACAAAGTGTGGAACGTGGAAACTTGTTTTTTCACGGAAAAGTTTCGGAATTCTTGGTTCATGTATACGTCGTTACGGACAGGTTTATAGGCGTTGGAATTAAATGGAATTTTATCGACAGTGACGTGAAATCTCTTTTGGCAGGTTTTTGGGACGTCGGTGAATAATTTATTGGCTAGAGAGAGCTTCTCGGATAAAATGTACGTTTATAGGAAAGATTTGTTGTACGCCGATATTTATTTAGCAATGAAATTCTAGGTAGTGAATTAGGATTACAGTTACTTCCACTGATTTCGAATGTGTGGCATGCGAAAGGAGGGCCAACGTTTACGAAACTGCAGGCGTGATGGTCGGGCCAACTGCATTAAGGTGCGCCCTTGGCAGAGAAGGGGACCATTTGGTCATACCGAAAGATAAAACTTAACGCAAATACGTTCACACCGGAAAAAATCGTGTAAATGTCATCAATATACTTATCTTCAA